TCACCACCACCTAAAACTCATTTTCCACCACTATTCTTAACAAAAAGACATTTTTCCAACCAAAGATCCTAAACTTGAAAGGCCTAACAAACTCAGTCAAGAAAAAAAGTGCAAAAAAAAATAGTAAGTAAAACATATGGGTTTTGAATATGTGGGATTTTTGGGTTTATGTGAATTTTGAGGTGTGTTATCTCCTATAAATGTCATGTGACCTTTTGATATCCTCCATGAATGCCACCTAACCTTTTGATATCTTTCATGACTGTCATGTGACCCTTTAATATCTTCACAATCAAACTCCAAAAATCAAAAGGAAAAATCTTCAGAAAGGGAAAAAAAACCATGAGAAACTAATAAAAAAATCAGACACATGGCAGCCTCAAAATCATTCGGGATACTTTTTATATATAATAGTATGGATTTGACACATCTACTATATAAGTGAAAAAATTATGTTTTAGAAGAAATAATGTTAAAAAAAGTTAATTTTTTTAATAGGTAATTACTTTTTAAAGTGAAAAAACACAAATATATTTAATTTTATATTTGATAAAATAAATTATTTGATTTTTTTTATTTTCAATCGAATTGGCTAATGTTCCTCGTTATAGCCATAGCTTGATCTATTGCACCTTTTAATTTCTTTTGAGAAATCAAGAAAAATTGAAGCATCCAAGAAAAATCAAAGTTTAGTACAGAATAAATTATGTGTTAGTTTATTTTCTATCAATTTATTAGTACAAATAAATAGAGTAAATTCATAGAAAACTAGTATTTTATTAATTCAAAGTAAAAGTATAACAAAATAAAATATAGTTATTGTAAATATGCAATAAATAGATTTACAAAATAAAAGTATAAACACATTACAGAATCTATTTTCAAACTGATTATACTATTTTAATGGTGGGGGAAAACGAAGGCTACCTTTACCAAAACCACAAAATCACCCAACTCGAGACCACAAAGCCACCATTACTGTAAACCATCATCACAACCCTATAAAAACCCTTCGTCTACCAAGACTTGAATATCCTGCAACTTTTTACCTCTCCAAATAACACACCATCAACACCACATACGAATCATCTGCATTCCAAAGTCTCAACACTATAATTGTCACCAACCAAAACTCCCACTAAACCCACCATCTACCACCAATTTCACCATTACCTAAAACTCATTTTCCACCACTATTCTTGACAAAAAGACATTTTTCCAACCAAAGATCCCAAACTTGAAAGGCCTAACAAACTCAGTCAAGAAAAAAGTGAAAAAAAAAAATAGTAAGTAAAACATATAGGTTTTAAGTATGTGGGATTTTTAGGTTTATGTGAATTTTGAGGTGTGATATCTCTTATAAATGCCATGTGACCTTTTGATATCTTCCATGAATGCCACCTAACCTTTTGATATCTTTCATGACTGTCATGTGACCCTTTGATATCTTCACAATCAAACTTCAAAAATCAAAAGGAAAAGTCTTCAAAAAGTAAAAAAAAAAAAAAAACCCATGAGAAACTAATAAAAAAATCAGACACATGGCAGCCTCAGAATCATTCGGGATACTTTTTATATATAATAGTATGGATTTGACACATCTACTATATAAGTGAAATATTATGCTTTAGAAGAAATAATGTTAAAAAAAGGTAATTTTTTTTATAGGTAATTACTTTTTAAAGTGAAAAGACACAAATATATTTTATTTTGTATTTGATAAAATAAATTATTTGATTTTTTTATTTTCAATCAAATTGGTGTTTTATGAAGAAAAAAACTAAATTGATATCATTTTACCCATGACACAAATTTAATCACCAATTCAATTAAGGGCTTTAAGAACACAAATCATATACAAACTTCTTATGTGAGTGAAATAAATAAAAAGATTGATTATTTAAATAAATATTAAAAGAATAAATAAAAAAATTATAGTTTTCTTTTTAAAATTAAATTTATAGTTATCTTAAGATATAATAATGAGAAAAAGATGAAATAACTATTTATATATTTTTTTTTATATTTAAAGTTATTAAGATTTGAATCCTAATTTAACACTTTATCATTCAAATTTTAAAATAAAGAAGAAATAAGGAGGGAGTTTTAAATTTTGAATTATTTCTTTATTTTAAGGAAAACGAATTATTATTCCACCTTTATGTATTTTTATTTTTAATTAATTCTTTAATTAAATTGGTGTTACTTGACTCATGACACTAATTTAAATAGAGCTTTTATAATAATAGAGATATGATATAGATTATTCATTATAAATATGAAATAAGAAACATTTATAACTTTATAAATTTTTTATAAAGCATATTTTTCATTTAACGAATTATAAAAAAACCCATTATTACATAAAAATACTTAAATAAGTACTCTAGTCAAAAAAATTAAAAGAACAAAAAGTTAAATTGTGATTGGCAAGAGTGATAACGATTCAGATAAAATGAAATTTGGTTCAATTTTTTTTAATAATATATAATATTATAGATTTTCAAAATTCAATCTAAGTTTAAATTGATTTCCTTTAAAACCAATCTAATTCAAATCGAATTTTATTAGTTTAATTTTATTAATCGGTTTTTGACATTTAATTTTTTGATATTGTTTTAATATAATTTTTAATATTTTTAATTAGATTTAAACATAAAATAATTATTTTATTTTATAAATTTTTAAAATATATAAAACAAATAAAAATATATAATTTAATTTTATCAAAATATTTTTAATTTTTTAATTTTTTGACTCAAAACAAGATTCAAATTTAATAAAAATATTTAATATCCAAATTTATATCGAATCAAATAAAAAATTCAATCCAAATTGAATAAAATATTATAATTTAAATTGATTTTCAGTATTTTCTATTTTTCCGAAGCTCTAATAATCAGTCATAACAAATTCTAGTGTCAATTTAAACCTGTTGTTTTTTTTGCCATCCAATTGTTTATAATAGAAAAGCTCTCTGAACTTTGTCAAGGTTGGCAATCTCTACCGACAACAACATATTGGTACGCGCCCGCGAGTGGAGCGCTTTCAAAATTCTATAAGTGGGTGAATTTTATTTTGTTGGTCGTGGTCAAAAAAAGTTAAAAGTAAAACGTGGCAACCGCCCATGCCCATGGGTGCCACACATATTTATGTCAGGTTGTTATGACGTTTGACATTTAAACCAGTAAATTATTATTTAAAATTTTAATAGGTGAATATTTAAAGTTGATTAATTTATTATCGAATTTAATTTATATTTTTCGAGAAATAAAATAAATTAAGTTAAAATATTTTAATATTTAATTTGAAAATTTTAGAAGTCTAATTAAATTTTTATTTTTAAATATATTTTAATTTAATAAATATTTATATTTAAACATATAAATAATAATATATTTAATTTTTATATTTATAATTCATTGAATCTAATAGCATTGAATTCAAACTGTTAAAATAAATCATAAGTCAAACTTAAGTAAAAAAATAAAACTTGATTGAAATTAAATTAAATTTAAAATTTTAAAATTTTGAATCGAATAAAACTTTTGATTCTATTAAATTTTCAATACTTTGTACTTATCCTCTCCTCTAATTTTTTTGTATGTTATTTTATTTTATCTTTTATTTTTATGCGAATTAATCAATTTTATTATTAATATCAACATCTTTTTTTTTTTATTTAAGGAAGGGAAATTCAAATTCTACTCTTTGAACAAGTAAATCATGAACCAATTAATTAGTCCTAATTTTTTTTAAATTAAATTTTATTTTGATTCCCGCCTTTAAATTTTATCAATTGAGTCATTAATTTTAATAATAATTAAATACTCAATTTAAAATTTAATATTTATGCATTTTTTTAAGTTAATACTATTATTTTAAATTTAATTTAATTAAAAATTTAAAAAAATTTAGTTCTCTCAAAAAAGGATTCCATAATGACCCTTAAGTTCACGTGTCATTAAGTTATATTTAGCTATTAATTTTTTTTATCAATGAAAATCGCTCCATTTATGCATTATTTTCAGAGAAGAAAAGAAACCAAAAATAATAATAATAATGCCTAAATCTTCAGCCAAAAAAAAAAACCATTCCTAAATCTTTTTGAAAAAGAATAAAAAACCAATTCATATTGAAAATGAGTTTTCAAAGCATTTTCTTTGAAAGATAGTCTACTTTTGCACTTAATTATTTGGTTAATTTAAAGATTAAATTAGCAAAAAATTTTATATTATTTTGAAAATCTTTCCTACAACTTCTTAACCAGAGCAATTATAGCCCTAAAGTAGCTATCATTGAGAACTATAGCAACTAAGTATCACTAACACTGGAGTCATCCCAATGTTTATGTTGAATTCCTTATCAATAAGGGTGAAAAAGATCGCAATTGGCAGGAAAAATAAAAAGTGAAAATAGAAAAAAAAAATGAGATAGATGATGATATGCCAAATGGACGAAAGGATAAAATTTAAAGACTTGAGACCAAAATGTAATGATGTAAAAAGTTAGGGATCATTTATAAAATTTACCAAAATATGGTAAAAGAAAAGAGCAGTGGAACATGTGGGACGCAAATCACTTAAGCTCTGACAATGACATGAATGTTGGCACGCAATTCGAGTCCAACCCTCCCCGCATTTGTCGCTCCTCCGCAAATGTAATTGTTGCACCCTATCCCTATTCCAAATTTGTCATTTTGTATAATTATTTTGATTCAATAATTTTAAAATACGATATAATTATATAATATAATATAATATATAAAAATAATATAATTTAAAATTTTAATAATTATTATATTTAAATTTATTAAAATTAAGAAATATATTTTTTATTTTGATATTAACATAAATTATAATATATTTTTTTTATATAATATAAATATATAAATTTTAATATTTTATATTATATGAATATACAAATTAACGAATATTATTTTAAGCTCACCGGCTGACACTGTGGACACGGGGAACAATCCGCCTATTATAGTTACAACTCTTTTTCTCTCTCTTCGTTTTCTTATTCTTTTTGATGTTGAGCTCTTCTTTTATGTTCAAACGTACCCATAAAGACCGGGACCTCGGACCTGCTCTTTTCCTCTCCTCTCCTCTCCTTCTCCTTTCTACGTTTCCTCTCTTTCCCTTTCTCTCGCTCATGTTTCAATCATCGTGGGTGCGTTTTTTCTTTTTAATTTTGCGTTTTCTTTATTTTATTCAACATTTTCTTGCATTGCATATATGCATGTATTATGAATTTGTTGTTTAGATCGTTTTGTTGATGCCAAGTTGAACCCATTCTTCTGCATTTTCACTTTGTTTTTTCCTTTGGTCTTTTTTGCCACCTTCAAACCCTCATTAATGTTCTTTTTTCTTTTTATTTTCAGGTAATTTTTTTTTTCATTTCCTTTGGTGCCTCTGCCTTTAAAGCCTGGTTCTTGTTTTGTGTTTTTCTTTGAATTCCCATACTTTTTTGAGAATGATTAAATCTTGGGTTTTTTTTTTTTTTGTTTTCCTGGGTGATTTAGATTTCTAGCTTTCCTTAACTGGGTTTGTTTCTGATTCATAAAAATAAAATAAATTGTTTGTTTATCAAATTATCTTTTTTATGGATTAATTTTAATTTTTTATTTATTTTGATTATAATACTTTCCCAGACATGCTCTGACAAAGAATTGTAAATGAGTTTTTTATTTTTATTTTCAACGCTTTCATTTTTTTTCTTCATTCTTTTAACTTTCTATTTGGTTTTGTTGGATCGTGAATTTCTGGCTCTCTTTTGTCTGTGGTTATAGAGTTTTGAATTGGGATGTGACAAAATTCATGGGTTTTTCTATTTTTAAATAAAAGTTAATACTTTTGGAATTCAACCTTTGTGGTGTCTTTTTTTTCTTTTCTGAAATTCAATGGAGGGCCCATTTATAATGGAATTTTGTATTTTGTTTTACCCTTTTTTCTTTATGATTCTGATATGGCTCTCTTGTGTTCTTAATATTTCAGAAATGTGCTAATCAGTGTTCCTTTTCTTTTTTCAGCACATTTGTCACAGAAGCATTTCCAAGGAAGGGTGTTTGTTGCTTGATCACTGAAATTGACACATAAATTCTGGTTCTTGCAGCTTAACACAATTCATAAGAAGCTTTTTTCCAAATGCTAAATTTTGCAAGAGGAAGAAGCCAGCCAAGGCCTACTAGACCTATGCCGTTTGTAGGTAAGATTTTCTCTCAAATTCAATCTAACTCAAGTCTGCTTATTTTAGTTTCATGATTTTGATGGCCATTCTTTCTTGTTGCCATTTTCATTTTGAAAGTTCAAAATTTCCAAATTCCTGTGAAATTTGGAAAAGTAATAATCAATCATCTTGTTCTGAGAAACTTATTGATATTATTTATATTATTTACCCTTTTTTCCCAAAAATTTAGTTACAATTTGTTACTGAGTGTTGAAAAAATGCATTTTGTTATCTTTACAAGTTAGTTTATGCTTCAGCTATTTGTTATTTGGAATATGACTTGCTAATGTTTTAATGTGCTCCTGATGATATAAAAGTGGATGAAATTGTTTTCTAATTTTGTTGTTGTTGTTGTTGGTGTTTTGCATGTAGGCATGGAATATCCTGATCCCAAAAGGAAGAACAATCTTGTAGGAAAAATCCTTATGGCTGCAACTCTTACAGCCTTATGCATTATCATGCTCAAGCAATCCCCAACGTTCAATACTCCAAGTCGGGTACCTAGTTGGTTCTCTCTCTAGTTCTTCTACTTTTCTCTCTACTCTGCTATACTGAAGTTAAAATTTACAAGGGCAGTTGATAATGGAGGCAATATTTGTTCTCTGTCTTACATACAAATATGGGGCACAGTGATCTAGTTCATTCTATCAAAAGATCGTGCCTCATGTTTTTCATGTGGATATCTTGATTAGTTTGATAATTGAAAAAAAAATAGCAATCATTGTTCACTACTATTGCTAAACAGTTATTGCTTTTAGTTGATTTTTAATAAACTTGTTAAGATACTTCTTATGTATGGATATGATATATTTTTCTGGGATTCCATCTGTGATTATATCAGGACCCTATGATATTTTCCTTAAGAATTCATTCTTGCATGTTGTCATTGCCTGCTGGCTTAGTTTAATCAAACTGTTCACTTGATTATGGATATATCCTTTGCCCTTTGCATGTGGTTAATATCATCTTCACTTCCACATAAGGAAAATTGTAATTGCTGCTACTTTGTATGAGAACTTGGAATCAGTCCAGTTCTTTCTGTAGTAGGGCTGTTTTTAAGTTATATAATATTTCTACTTCTGGTTTTTTTTTCCATTTCTTGACCTCTATCTTTCCAGTTCTCCCAACATGAAGAAGGGGTAACCCATGTTCTTGTAACTGGTGGTGCTGGCTATATTGGTTCACATGCTGCTTTACGACTTCTGAAGGAGTCATACCGTGTAACTGTTGTGGTATATTTTTATTTTAGGATATGTAACAATCTCCTTTCTAATCTTTCCAGCTTGTGGATAGTGATTAGTGTGGGTTTTAAGGAAGAAGTTGCCTCTTTTGCAGGACAATCTTTCACGTGGAAACATAGGTGCTGTGAAGGTTCTACAAGAATTATTTCCAGAACCTGGATGGCTTCAGTTCATTTATGCTGATCTGGGGGATGCAAAAGCTGTATCCTTTTTGTGAAATTTACTGTGACTATTTTTTTAATTATCAATTTTAGGCATTTAAACATGAATGTGGTGTACTATTTCCTTGATTTTATATTTTAGGTAAATAAAATATTTTCAGAAAATGCATTTGATGCTGTAATGCACTTTGCAGCTGTTGCATATGTTGGGGAGAGCACACTTGATCCTCTCAAGTAAGTTTCCTTTTATGATTGGCAGAGTTAGTATAGGTCGGATGACCTGTGAAGTAGATTGCTCATTTGGCTGTTTATGCTAAAAAATTGATTTTTTGACAAGAGCTTGTTTAGTTGAAGAAATTAACTGTGTGCTATAGTGCTATGAAATGAGTGTAAGGAGTGTATGCTTCATTGGTGCTGCTGTTGGCAACCCTTTGTGCCTAACTAAGTTTGTGCTCTTGTTTATAAATTACATGGCAGAGATACCATTTAATAAGATAAATTCAATTTCACTAATTATTTAAGTTTTTGTAACTGCACTTTCCATGATTTAAGAGAGCACCAGAAATGAAGATAAAAATTTTCCATCACAATAAAGGCCGTTTAGAGCTATTCTAGGTCACTAGATTTCAGATGGAAATTTAAATTGGATTCATTTTGTTTATTTGGATCTGTAGATATATTGTTCTACCAAGCATGCTTGATAACATCCTGACTTCCATGTATAAAGCCTTTAGAATTGTCTGGTGCACTTTCTTTCTCTTAACCTAAGGGTTCGAAATGAAAAAGAAATTACCCTGGAACGTGGGGCTTGCTTCTTGCTGTTTTCTTTCTGAGTGCCTTCATCTAACCAACTATGCTATTCAGCCACAACCTTTGCTGCTGCTATTCACTAAACTACTGGCTCTGTTACTGATGCCATCACCATTCAAATGTCCTCTTATTATTTACATTAACTCTGCCATTGGAAATTACTTTATTTTGACACTGATGTTCTGGGGAAAACCATCAGCATCTATTAAGATTCGATCCTGGATGTGGTTGAGAAATATTTTTGCACTGTTGGTTACCTATTATTATTTGAAATATCTGATCACATAATATTTAAACTAATCGCCCAATTGATGTACTCTACAATGTGGCAATGATGTACAGGTATTATCACAACATTACTTCAAACACCTTGGTGGTCTTAGAGTCAATGGCTGCTCATGGTGTTAGGACTTTGATATATTCTAGTACATGTGCCACATATGGGGAGCCTGAAAAGATGCCAATCACTGAAGAAACCCCACAGGCAAGTTACAAACTTGGTATTTTGCTTAATTATTTTCTAAATGTTTTGTTTGAGGCCAAGGATTTCAAGGATCGACCTTTATCAACTTATCGATGCATAAACAGTTATAATACAACACAACTGACCTTTGTTTTGCAACAACTCAGGTTCCAATCAATCCGTATGGAAAAGCTAAGAAGATGGCGGAAGATATCATCCTGGATTTCTCTAAGAATTCAGACATGGCTGTTATGATCCTAAGGTTTGTATTTTAGTTTATTTTTAGAAGTTTCAAGAATCTTGATAATGCTTTTTACCTTTTCTTGATTTTCTTATTTGCAATCTGTTTTCTTTTATCTCAATTGCATAATTTTAGTAACTTAACAATATCCCATAAGTCTGCCATGCCTTAAACCAAAACTAAGTATTTGTGTACGCTTGTAGATTTTTCATACTCTTTTTTTTTTTTTTTTTGGTAATCTGAGGTAGTTAATTCATTTAGTTATGATTGTTCTGCCAGCTAACAGCTGCAAATATAGGACATATTAGGCTACCGAATCCTGTTTCTAACACAGGCTTTTTGTAGTTCTAGATCATAGGCAAAATGAAGCGTAGAAGGTTGCTTATTTCATAGCATACAAATTTATGATCGGTGAAATTTTCAGACTGTGCAATCCCTCGTATGATATTCAATGTGTAGGGTTGTGACCACAATTACTGATAGTACTACAATATGCACTTTTTTTAAGTTTTTTTTTTCTGCAGATTAAAAAATGTCAATTACAAAATATTTTCCCGTGGTTATGACTATTTTTTGGTGAATATCTTTCAGATACTTCAATGTGATCGGGTCTGATCCTGAAGGAAGATTAGGTGAGGCTCCCAGACCTGAGTTGCGTGAGCATGGACGAATTTCAGGTGCTTGTTTTGATGCAGCTCGTGGTATCATTCCTGGTCTAAAGGTATGCTATTCCTTTTACCCCTTGACTTTGCTAATCTTAAGTAATTGTTTTGTAGTTCTAGCTAAACATGGGATCAGGAAGTGAATAACTAGTTATATACTGCAACTTAAGAAAACAGTTTGACCGATGTTAGGAAGATGATGAACTTTGAGAGTTCATAAGGTGCAGATCTTATTGACAGTTTTGCTGTTAATTTTTAAACCTGAAAGTAGCAGCAGCAGCCTTTTCTGAAGGCCTGAGCAATCTATTGCTGATGTAAAAATTGGATAATTTTGAGAACGTTGTTCTCCTCCTGCCCGTGAGGAAGTGCAAAGAAGGCTACTAAAGCCATGATCTAATATGGTCTCAATCAAATTGATGATGGTCTCCATGCATTTAGTTAAAAGTAAATATGACTAATTCTGTGGTTTGACAGCTGCTATGAAATTTCAATAAACATTTATAATGTCTGCATTTCATCTTTTCCTTGAAACAAGTTTGATGTAGATGATTATTTGCAGAACTGAATTCTTTGAGCATATAATTTTATTCTTTTCTGCTGACATCACCTTTCCAAGCATTTGCTTAATACTTTAGGCAAAATTTTGAGCTCACGAAAGATTTGAAAGACCTGGACTGAGTGAAGAATTATCTGTCATTTCACATGTTTAATAATAATGCTTTCTTTTTCAGGTGAAAAAGGTCATCTAATGTATGATAAAATAAACTGTGTATTATTTATTACAACTGTATTTTTCAATTGAATATGGTATGTGTGCTGTTTTCTTGTTTGTTTTATACATATAACTATTATAATGTCATCACACCTGTCATTCCACATGTCTGTGGTTTTGCCTTTTGGTTCAAACTGATTGCAATGCACAATGGTAAGATAAAAGTCTTCTAGCTTTTGGGTAACTTTGTTTTGCTATATCACCTAAAATTTCTATGAACCATTTAAGCTACACCAGGTGGCATTTGGTGTTCATATGCTAATATTAAATTCTGATTTTGTCTATCTGGTTTTTGGGCTTTCCTGCAGGTCAAGGGAACAGACTACAAAACACATGATGGCACTTGCATACGTGATTATATTGATGTTACTGACCTGGTTGATGCTCATGTTAAAGCTCTTCAAAAGGCAAAGCCGGGTAAAGTTGGAATTTACAATGTTGGCACTGGAAGAGGTAGATCAGTGAAGGAGTTTGTGGAGGCATGTAAGAGAGCCACGGGGGTGGAGATAAAAGTTGACTATCTTCCCCGCCGACCTGGAGATTATGCGGAAGTGTTTAGTGACCCAACTAAGATCAGGCGTGAGTTGAACTGGACTGCTCAATTTACTGATCTCCAGGAGAGTTTACAGATTGCATGGAGATGGCAAAAGGTGCATCGTGATGGATACGCAGCTGCCTCTTAGGTGATTGTTTCTTGAGTAGTTCACTGCATTTTATAGCAAAAGGCTAACGCAGACCCCAGACGGCTTGATTCCGGCCGCGTTTCTTCTATCTCTCACATAGAAGATGGGAGGAAAATTTGAGATTAAATTCTTCCATTGCTATTACATTATTTGGTTAGTTATAGGGAGCAGCCAATTCATTATATGTGTATTGGAAAAGATAATGATAGTTTAATAATATGATGCCAAGGCTCAGATATAGCTTTTCTTGATTCTTTTTGCTCATGTTTTTTCTTCCCGGTTTCATTGCTAATAGATTCAACAATTCTGGCTTTGTGGCCGCTTAAAATCCCTGCTAAATGGAACTTAACAAGTCGTGGTAATAGTCTTCTTAAAAAGCTGGGTACTTTGTTCCAATTCTCTCTGAAGAAGAATGGAAGAAAAGAATAGAAGATAAAAGAGAATTAAATAAACAAATTTAAATTTTAATCATATAATTATTTTTAAAAAATTAATATTTAATTAATCTGAATTTCAAATCATAACGCTGGCAATCCATAAAATACATATATATATATATATATTTATAAAAGAAATGTCACTACTTCCTATTTTATTCAATATATTTTAGTCACTCAACACTTTGATATTGTTTCCATCTTATAAAATTTGTTTTTTTTTTAATATATATTTTAAACTGTCAAAGATTAAATGTCGATTATTAAAATTAAAAAAATAGAAATTAGAAGACGTGAATAACAATAGTTATGTAATCATCCATGGCATGCCGATGATTACATGTTTTGCCATTTATTGAGGTATACTTGAAAAGGAAAATTCTTTTGAAAACAGCTGATCGCAATGATATAGATGATGATTGATGAATTCAACATTAATACACAATAAGCCAAAAATCATACAATATAATCCCAATGTTTCCAAGTACCGGGCCAAACCAAATAGACACATTTAGTATATCATGTACCTCATGCAAAAATAAACCAATCCAGACGTCCATATTCATCATATATTCTGCTTGCTAGGTTACAAAACCAAAAGAATTACCGAAACAATTGTGCCATTGACCACATCTTCAAGCAACTGATTGCACTGCTCTTTCGAAGCTATCCTCTGCAGATGATGCTCGTTTAACAAGAATGTGTTCTGGATGTGTCAGTTTCAATTGGCTGCAAAGTAACCATCACAAGGTCAGGATTGGGAGCATTTGCCCAAATAATCAACAATGTAGCACCTCAATTAAGATGTACAACAGCATAGCAGAGAATATAAGATGTGACAACAATACATTCCATTAGTCTACTCTGTAGCTGAATAGACGACTTGAAGGGCCTAGCAGTAAGGCCTTGAAATTTTAAGCCATTGAGGTAGAATTAAGGTTAAGTCATATTCTGAAGCACCAAAGGAGCAAAGATATGATGCAAGCTACATTTAGATCAAGAAAACATCCAGCAAGCTCTCTTCTTCAAACAGCAATGCTGCTTCAACTTATATAAGTTGAAATAAGAAGCTTTGCATGGTAAGCATGCATGAATATGCACCAAATAACAAAAGAAGATACTCTTAACATTGCATGCATAGTGAGTGTTGAAGAATCCCACTCTGGTCCTTTCCAGTTACAATAATAGGACTTCCATATTCAACAAGCTACAATAAAATTCGTCTTTCTTGATTTAAATTAAAACTACTACAACTCAGTATTCAATAATCAGTGACTCAACAAAACTCCCTTATATTTTGTTGATGGTAGACTACATGATCATTCTGACTATTTATGGTCATGCTAATCCTATAGTGTAAACAATCACGACTCTGCAGAATGCATATTGCACCGTGTGAAATTTGCATGTTGACTCAATAAGTTATTAAAAGCAAGAGGGCAAATGCAAACTAAAGAGTTATATGCAAATTAAAGACTTAAAAGTCCACTAATTGGTGGCTAAGGAATTGCCATGATGCTAGCAATACCTCTCTCCCAAAACAAGGTCAAATTTGAATCCTATTTTGCCCAACCTAAATAAATATTAAAAGAGTATATGTGATCCTTTTCATATGATTTAAAGTAGGACTGTCTGCCATCTTCATTATGCATAATTAGGAGCCAGGGAAATTCAAAACAGGCAACTAAGCCAAGAGGAAAATCTGATTTTTACAGTAGATTGATAAGCAAAGTTCTGCTCAGCACCAGCAAACACCATTTTGTACTAAAGCCACACAATTGTAAGATTTTCAAGCCTTAACTTAGATTTCAAAAAATAAAATACAAAAAAAGTATATATATCCTCAGAAAACTTCAATGACTATACTTAGATTTCAAAAAATAAAATACGCAAAAACAAATATATCCTCAGAAAACTTCAATGAATATTAATTGATTAAAAGGATGGTCGAATCTCAGTTTGAAGATATGCCAAACATTTGTTTCCAACTAGGCAGTCCAGACTAGGAACTTAGCAGTTAGGATGCAGTGATATGCTTTTTGTAGTGCTTTACAATATCTCATAGAAACCAAGACAAAATAAAGTATGCTAACATGAAAAAAATGGAAACTCCTCTTAGGGTATTGGGTCCCCATTAATCTAGCTGCCATGTATAACTCTTGAACTTGATGGACTCTTTTCCAATCAGCTAAACTAGCCATTTTTGCAATCTTTTATAGAGCAGTTTGAATAAAAAAAGGTTATAGAAACTTATCAACTGTAAAACTGATATGGGAGAGTTCAATAAAAGAAAAGCCAGAAAAAAAACAAAACAACAGGAAATGAATAGCTAGTTTACCTTAGGTAACGTGAAGATGATTTACCAAGGTGAAGACTGCATACAACCAGGTTGGCAAGAGTTTCAGGATCCTTTGCATCCTATATCCATTGACAAAAAACCCCCTATCACATACAATGATATAGATATGAACCAACCAATTGCTAAGAAGCAATGAAACTTGGGAGTTCTTGGAGAAACTTGGGAGTGAAATAGTCAGTGTCATGATGAATACAAAATTTTAAAATTGACAGGAACATAAGGGACTACAGGAAAATCAAAGAGTCAAATTCAATATCATTTGATGCCACTCAGATGTTTTATTTACACCAACTGAAACTTAATGCATATAAAGTCTGAAAGAAAAGACTAATTTATGATCATGAAACACATTGACTGTAGTTAATCCTGTTCCTGGGGTTATAAATAAACACCAAAAGAATTGCCAAATCATAAGCTTAAATCTTGAGAAAACAAAGTGTCCACTATTTAAACTTGCCTTATTAAGTGCTTCAAGCAACAGTGTTTCAGCTTCATCAAAGTTTCCCATGTGCATACAGCAGACAGCCTTTCCATTCAGGATCAATCCAGTCATTGGATATTTCTCAGAGAAATCTTGGAAGATCAGATATGCTTCCTGTATCTTGGAACCACCCTGATTTGGTAGAATAACATGTCATTACACCATTCATGATTGCTCACTTACAGTGTTTTTAAAATGAAAGATATTCCATACCACTGCCAGATTAAACCATGCATTTGCAAGTTGAGTCAGTGTATGGTCTTCATCAACCTGCTGCATGACCCTCAGCTGTTTCTCTGCATAATCTGACCGGTGCATCTTAATGAATATTTGCACATTCAATGCATGCCTGAAAGCACAGAACAAAATGACTTCACCAGATGCATCAGAGCTTCCAATTCGCTTGTACATATACAAGTTACTCAGATTTTTGCTTAAGCAGTCTAAGGGCAAGTCAAAGTCACTAGATGTAACTGAAGGGTGTTTTGGAGGAATCACTAGAAGGAACATAATCATTTTCTAAAGGAATAGGCCACCAACTCCTAGCTCAAATCTGTAAGTATATTTGCTACAAAGATTTTACAGAATGATTCAACAACTTTCAAGCAAGAAAAACTTCTTCTAATAGAAGTCCAGTATAAAGGTAACACGCAATACAAATTTGTGCATGTAAATTCCATTCAATTGTGGAGAAGATGAGACAAACAGCATAGATGAGTCAGAAGCAGGCTAAATGGAGACAATACTATCTACTGGAGAGAATATGATGGACATGGTAGGCACATAAGCATTTAAAGGCAACATATATTGTATTGTCACTAGCCTATGAATGAATTAATTACTATTTATCTTGCAGCAAAATATCTTTTAAGATTAATCGAAAAAAGGGCACTGTGAGTCTAGACAATGCAGCATCTCAGCCAATTAGATCTCTAAGAGTATCAGGGTAACTGAATAAACTACAACTTGCAAAAGAAAATGCTGAAGCAATTAGAGCAAAACTTGTGATGATGAAGAGTGAACAATGTGCACCTAAAAGTCAGCACTTTGTTAAATATTTAAAGGATGGTGATGGTCAGGTATGAAGAACCACCATTGGAGGGCTTTTACCATGAATTTTGCCTTTTACTTATAAGTAGGCTTATTTGCAAAGATTTTCCTTCTTCAGCATCGGGTGTCAAAAGCTTGAAACCATAAACAATCCATGTTGTTATTTTCAACCAACCAAACACAAATTAGAGAATAATCGTACTGCTAAATATATATAGTAAGCAACAAATTAGAGAATAATTGTACTGCTAAATATATATAGTAAGCAAGTAGAAGTCAGCTGCAACATACAAGAGCCTAACTAGTTCACTGTGGTTCTTAGTTAACCCATTCTTCTGGTATATTGTAGTTTGAAGAGATATATTCCTAACGTTTTTTTTATTGATAAAATCCTTTTATTTTGATCTAAAATCTTTTCTGATATGTGTTTTCCATGAAAATAGAATTTTTAATGTGTGGGTGGTATAAAGAAAAATAAATTGGTAACTTAATTTGCAGCAACTACACCTATTTTGATCCATTAAATCTGGGTGAGTCACTTATATTTCTCTTGGCACAGGGATTACGAAATAAAATTCATCACTTAGGCTATATGCTCAAGTATCTTCAATGACCTGGGAAGTGGAGCAACATTGATATTTGTGTAATAAACCAGTTAGGGATCATCTTTTTGTTAGGAAAGGACATTCTTTGTTTATTTTGATGCAAGTTTCTCTATTTAATGGATTACCACCCAGGGCCACAAGGAATAAAAGTTCAGGAACCATCTAAAGCCTAACCCTTGGATTTACACAAGCTCCAAGGGCTTTCTTTTGTCACAAGAAGACAGGTTATAATGTGCTTTACAATTTCAACAATTTCAGTGCATTTTCATGTGATGAAAAAAACATAAACAAAAAGTGGCATGTTTCTGTTAGGGCAACCAGCAATTTTGGATCGATATGAAATAGCAGAACATTTAAACGTCAGCAAGGCTGTATAATGGTTAGTTGTTCTGATTCACATGGAATTCTGTTGGTTATTAATTTCAAACCACCCTCAATCATTCCTTCTCCACTTTGTTTTTATTTTCCCTTACTAGCATGAGGCTAGATAATGGAGGGTAATCTTCACCCTATCTGATAAACCCAACTTCTACGGACCGAAAAGCCTAAAGATGAAATGATTGGATCATCGGTTAAGCAGGGTAGATGAAGCAACAGCATAAAACAAATGTTTTCAAATTTGAACATATCAAGAACAAAGAACAAAAAGAAAATGAAGTAGAATCAGACATCATTAATAAAGAACCAAAAATGAAGTTGAATAGGAAAACTCACAGTTCCATGGTGCCACCAGCATTGGTGTGTTTAAGAGCCTCGTTATAATCTTCCTCATGCATGAAAATGATTCCAGCAATCAACCTTAAGATGGCATTGTTGCCAATTGCTGGATCTGCCAACCACTCTTTCAAACTCGAAATCGTTGATTCCTAAATACGATAAATCAGTCACACCCACCCATAACCCACAATCAATCCAACACCTTTTCCTATATTTTTTAGCAGATCCCTTCTATAATAACAATAACAATAACAACAACAACAACAATAATAAAGAAAGAGGGCAGATCTAAAAGAAATTTGACCTTATCATGAGGGTTGGAGAGATAGAGGGCGAGCAATTTAACAGCTTGGAGAGGAGTGGGAGCGGAGGAGTCGATCTCATTGATGACAAGCTGAGATTCGAGAAACAAAAACAATGAGTATTAGAATCGGAAATTGTTTAGAAAGAGGAAATTAAATGAATGCAATAAAAAAGGGGGTGGGGTACTTGGTAGCTGCCTAGAGCGATGTAAGAGCGGTAGACGAGACAGTCGCGCTCGACGGCGTCGTCGGGGGAGAGATTGGGAAGATCGCTGTTGTTGATGGCAGCCTGGTAAGAACCCAAATAGAAATTGTTCCTCAAGTTGAACAAGTGATCTGGAGCTGCTGCCATTTCTTTTCTTTCTTTCTTCCCTATAGATCTCAAAACAGTTTATCAGAATCACAAATATGATTTTTCTCTTTCAGTTTTCACGTCTAACTCCCACTGTTTGTTTCTTTTTTTCATTTCTATCTTGTATAATCGATGCCGAGGACAACGACACCGTTTAGCCTTATAAGTTTTTATTTTCTACTCAAAAGATTTTGCCTTTCATTATTAGTATATTTATATCGTACTTATTTTTTTATAAAATATAGAAATTATTTTATCCAATGTTAAATATAAAATATTTTTTTATTAATTTAAAATTATATTATTTTAATATATTGTTTATATTTTATCTAAAATTATAAGATTTAAATTTATTATTTTTTTACTTTAAAAAAAAACATAATTTACATATATTATATTTTTTTATACTTGAATTTGTTAAAATTTAAATTTTAGTCATTAATAAAGAAAATGATAGAAATGTAGAGTAAGTACTACGTAATTCCAAAATTATTTATTATTTTAAGAAATTTTTTTATTTTAATTTTAAAAAAGTTATAATGGATAACAGAAAACTATAATAATAAAATCATTAAAAAGATATAAAAAAATAGTGCAAATAGAAGCCCCCCTTCTTTCAAGTAGACGTCGATAAAAAGGCGGACCATGGGCAGGGCACGGGTCAAAAACTAGAGTCCGTCTGTCTCTCGCTCCCTCTCCCGCTTTAGAAATCAAATCAAAACCCTAGCTAGGGTTTTAGTGTTATTTCTTTCTCTTCCTCTTTCATCGTCTGCTCTGCTGATTCTCTCTTCTACAATCCGAATCGCAACAATGTCGATGTCAAAGAGTTCCAAAATGCTTCAATTCATCAACTACCGGATGCGAGTCACCATCCAAGACGGACGCCAGTTGGTGGGCAAATTCATGGCCTTCGATCGACACATGAATCTGGTGATCGGTGACTGCGAGGAGTTCCGGAAGCTCCCTCCTGCAAAAGGAAAGAAAAACACCAACGAGGAACGCGAAGATCGTCGAACCCTTGGCCTTGTTCTCCTCCGTGGCGAAGAGGTTATCTCCATGACCGTTGAAGGTCCTCCTCCTCCTGAAGAGTCTCGTTCCAAAGCTGGCTCTGCTAATGCTGTCCCTGGCCCTTGGATTGGCCGTGCTGCTGGGCGTGGGATCCCCACTGGGCCTTTCGTTCAGGCTCAGCCCGGTCTTGCTGGCCCTGTCCGCGGTGTTGGAGGACCGGCTCCTGGGATGATGCAGCCCCAGATTTCTCGCCCACCTGTTCCTCAGCTCTCGGCTCCTCCAATGGCTTACCCTCCTGCTGCTGGTGGAGCTCCACCTGTGATCCGTCCACCTGGGCAAATGCCACTTGGTGCTTACCCGGGACAGCCACAAGCACCTCAAATGCCACGTGGTCCACCTCCTCAGGTTCCACCACCTGCTTTAGGATTAAGGCCACCTCACCAATTCCCAATCCCACCACCACAATTTGTTCAGAGGCCCATGGTCCCACCTCCGGGACCAATGATGAGAGGACCTCCGGCTCCACCACCTCCAAGGCCTGGAATGCCTCCTCCGCCTGGTGCTGTTCCTGTTTTTGGACCACCACGTCCAGGAATGCCGCCTCCACCAAACCCTCAAAACCAGCAGCAGTAGTCATTTTTATTCGGTATGGCATATTTCAGCATCCAATGGTTTCTATTGTCTATTATGCTGGAATCTATTGTGCTAGAATGATTGATAACATTTGCTGGTAATAGATAATGTGTAATATCTAAGTCATTTATGAAGTGAGTCTTCTTAAAAGATTAAAAATGCAGGTTTTCTTCATTTGATATGTTTGTTTAAACTTTTGTTGCCTGATTTGAGTCCTCAAGAGAAAAGTTCAATTTTGAGTGTTTATTATGTTTGGTTTGCATGTTACTTTGTATTCAACTTTGTAGTAACATTTTTTAGAGTTTTGGTGGTTTTAATTCAATGTTTGAATTTCTCTATGCGGACTTTTCTTTCAAGTATTTTGTTGTTAGGTGATAGAAATCTGTGTTAAAGAGGAAAAGTGAATGTTATTTTTTTAATTATTAAACAGATTATGAGTACAATAAGTATCAAATGACATGACCATATGGAAATGAACTAATTATCATTGAATTTTTGAAATACATTAAATCATTCTTCTAATGGCTTTTCAAATGGAAAAGCATGCGGGATCTTCTTGCGTGTTGCCCTCTGCAGTAGCCATGAGACTGCCCATAACTTTGCAGCATGCAAGAAAGGCCAGCTGCTGCATGAAGTAGCTGGAGGCTGCCCACATTTGGTAGCAGTGGACTCTGATTGCTTGCTTGCTGCTCTGTGCAGCAGCCATGAGGGTGCCACCAAGCAAAATAATTAAAGTGAAAAGTAATACGCAAGTAAACCCACAAACTCAACTAAATAAGAAATGGCTCCACCAAGTGAAAATTAGCACATAATAACGCCAGAGAATAGTTCCTTAAACATTTAAAATTTATAACAAAACCTCTGAAATCAAGACCAATTTTAATTAGTAATCAACATCCTTCAGTAATATTAAGAAAATATTGGATAACAATAATCATGCAGGCGACGCGAGTTGCTATTCTTGCTACAACTAGGGGCTGCTAGCACTTGGTAGTGATACTAAAATAAATACTTACCTAAGAAAAGATGGATTTAATCTCCCAGAAACTAATTCTTTACAAAAAGGTTCAGACACAAGATCATCAGAAGCTAATGCTCACTGTAGGAAAACAGAATTAGAATCATATTTACATAGAAATGGGAAGACTGATTTTTGAATACCAGCAAAATGCTAAAATAATGTCACCAATTACTTGATGCTAAAACAAGACATGATGATATCTGGGTAGCAATGGCCAATGGTACTTGAAATAATCAGCAAGGCCTACAGATAAGATATAGCATTTACATAAGAACTTCAACAAATAATCACCAAAACTTTATCTAGGCAACTTAGCATTCTATGAAGTTAGTGATTTGTTACAGAAAATGAAAGTTGGATGAAGAACTTAATGATTCACAAAAAAGAAAGACGATGATCACATAAAAAGGACAATACAAAGAGCATTATAGATGTTAGTAGTGGAGACACAGAATATTTCTTAAAAAGTGCATAATTTCATTTAGTTTTGATTTATCGGTCAAATTGCAAAGTATTCAAGCTGTCAAAGCATCTCTGTATCCATTGTTTACAGTACTCTTATATTTCTATAGCTTCAAGCTATTTTTCTAATCAAGGTAAAATTAACCAAAACAGAGGGACAATTACAGAAAAATTACAAAATTCTAAAAAGGAAATCTTGACAAGCTAGAAATTTTCAGATCTTAATTCCACATTATTTTATGATTTTTGGTGCTTTAAAATTACAAAGTAGACCTCCCTAAATATGAGCATCTAGTGATATTTCGTATCTTTTAGACCTTTAGTTTTCTGTGCGAGACAGTAACAGCAGTATGTTAATTCTATGGCATGACTCTAGTTTCTCTGAAGAATATAATTGTTCTGTCTTGCTCTGGAACTAGTTGTGCAGTCTGTTAATTGCAGTCCATATACAAGGATTGACATGTCATCCATGATATCCATTGGAGATGCTATTTCTTTGGGTTTTGTTGTTTCTTGGCTGCAGTTTGGTTTCATGGCTATCTTAGCATAGTAGCAAAGTCATTAATGGTAGGGTGTACAAAATATTAGTTCTTCATTCATCTGTTATTTTGTTTACTGCTAAACCTAAGATCACTTATTTTGAAATGTAACTAAAGTAAAACTTGAGCTGAAAAGTTTTTATCTCCCCTTGTTGTATGATTAATATCCAGATACTATAGTTGGTTTACATGCTTATTTGGATCTTTCCATTGCTATTAGAATCTTGAATTTCAGTTCGTTTCTGAATATCTAGTTTTAATTTTATGTTCTATGATTAATTTACATTAGTTTTACGAAGTCAGTACTCACTAAGTACTTCAACCTAGGTTAAGCGAATGAGCTGTGGTTTGATTTGTGCCAAATATTGTCATTGCGCTAGATGTTTTAACTTCTGGCATGGCAACTTTGATGTATTTTTGAGGTAATATGTGATTTTTTTTTATAGTGCAGTCTTTGGTGAAAGATTGTTTATGCTGAGCTTGCTTTTATTACAGGGAGGGCTTTAATAGAGGGAGTGCTGTGATGATTCATGTCTGGAATTTGATAGCAGAGTGTTTTTTGCAACAATGGCATTAGAGCACAGGTTCTTGAGTGGATGAATGAAAATTTCTCCTATTGTAGTTAATTAACATATTTGATGTTTTAAGTACCCCCACCCCCCCAAAAAAAAAATATATATATATATATATATATTTGATTGATGTTTTAGTAGAGCATAGTATGTTTTGCATTAACTGAGGAACTGACATTACATTGAATCTGAAATTACTTTTATCTTTTGTGAAGTTTTCATTACCCGTTAAGATTTAATCGCAAGTCTTTGCAATGTCGTCTTTGTTGTTTTTTTATGAACGTGTAATATTCTTACTATTTCTTTTATATTTTGAAAATGTTTTTCATATTTTTATTCCTTTTTGGCATTAAAATAATGACACATCAACGAGATATGGCAGGCAGAATGGGTGGGCACAGCCCATATTATTACAGTAACAGATTGGCCCGGCATGGCTAAATGACGGACCATGGGTTATGTGGTATGGTTCAATATAGAATATAATTGGATTAAGTTGAGTTGATTCGACTTTAAATTTGGTTTGATTTTGATCAAGTTTTAAATTTTTAGTTAAAGTTTAATTTGAAATAAAAATCAAGTTATTTGAGTTCGTTTGATTAAAATTATTTAACAAAAATGAGTTTGATTTTAAGTTAAATTATATGTTCATACTCGAGTTCAAAGTCAAATTAATATATAAAAGTAAAATAATAATTTTTAACTAAACAATACAAATATGTTAAAATTTAAAAATTTGATTAAGTTCGCAATATCTTCGAATTGGATATTTGAATTTGATTTGCTTGATAAGTTGAGATATTTAGTTTGATTTGATAATAATCTGAATTCGAATTTTATTTAAACTAAAATTAATTAACTTGTAAATATTGATATATTATTTTCATCTTTAATTAAGGCATGATTATTATTATTTTTCTATTTGGCCTCCACTCATTTGCATTCTCAATTCGTTAAATTGATTAAAGAGCAATGAACATTAGAGGTATAATAGATTGAGTTCGAGCTAATATAATATTAAGCTTGAGCTCGAGTTCAATTCGAAGTTTGAGACTTGAAACTTTGACTCAAATTCGATTGAATTTTATTTTTTTAGTTTGAGTTTAATTTGAGATAAAAATCGAGCTATTCGAGTTTACTCGATTAGACTTGATTAACATGTAAAAATAAGTTCGATTCTTATATTCAACAAAAATTCGATTATTTATACTCGAGTTTGAGTTTGAATTCGAGATATTTTATTAATTAAAATAATAAAAATATATTTAAATATAAAAACTCATTAGGCTTGCAAGTTATTCAAGTTGAATATAAGAATACTCGAATTCGACTCTATCAATGAGTCGATTTATTCAAGCTCGAACTCGACTTCATAATAATCGAGTCAAATTTAAATTTTTTTTTAATTAAATCTGAATAACTTACAAATATTAATATATCATTTACATCTCTAATGAACATCACATTTTTAATTCGTTTAAAGTGACTAATAAGTAATGAGTAATATATACATATATATATATATTTTTTGTATGATATATTCATTGATATTGCTGGTAAAATTTATTGTCTTTTGAGTTAATTAGTAATTGTAAAATTTATTTATTCATACTAAAATATTTTCTTTTCCCGTGGATGTAAGTATTTTAAGCTAAATTGCATAAAACATGCGTCTTTTTTGGTTAACACGGAAATTATATGTTTAATTTTTTTTATTATCTAAAAATTAATTTTCATTTTTACCCTTCTTTCATAATTATGGCATTAAAATAGTGATAGCATAAGAAGAAATAACAATTAAAAAATTGTATATGAAAAAAATACTGAATTGAGCTAAGCATTGAAGTATGTTTATGGTACTTTGTTTCGATTAAATCTGAAATAAATATTAATGTATATATTTTCTAATTTATTTAATTTTATACATAAATGTTATATTAATAAAATTATTCTTTAACTTTAATTTAAGAAATTAAATTAATATTTTAAGCTCAGTATAAAAAGTCAATTTAGCACCCTTTATAAGCTTTATTTTATTTTTCTTACTTTTTAGTTTTTATATTTTTTTTTATCTTTTGGCTTCTAAATTTTTATTTTTTTTAATTAAATAAATTTATGAGTAAAGAAAGCCAATTAAAATATTCACGTATTATTCTCATTTATTTTTTAAAAAAATTTTTAGTTAGATAATTTTTTTTAAATCTAATAAATAAAATGATAAAACCAAAAAAATTTGAACTATGATAATTCGTGGATATATCATTTATAATATTATGTTATAATATACATAGAAACCTAATAAGATTTATTTTTGTGAACGCTTAAATAAAAAACTTATATTATTGACACATAAAATAATTTTAAATAATTTTATTCAGTCAGTTATTTAATTTTTAAAAATTTTAAAGTTTCAAAATTTATATCTATCAAAGTCTTTCAAAATATATAAGATTTATCTTAATTTAAACATAATAAAACATATCTCATATCTCACTCTTATCCATGTATATGAAATATAAAATTTAAATAATTTTTAAAGATTAAATCCCTAAATCTTAAAAATCATAAAAAAATTATACACTGTTTAGATCAATATTCATATAAATTTAAATAAATAAAATTCATAGTTGAACCACTGTTTATTTACCAATTTTTAAACCTTTATTTCTTATAATTTAAAATAATAAAGAAAGATATTTTATCTCAATTTAAAGTTATACATATCTAAATTTAAAATTATACTAATCTCTTTTATCTTAATTTAATATTAAACTTGTATAAACTACATTTTTTAAAATTTAAAATTTTTTAAATTAAATAATTATCAAATATATATTTATAATTTCTTCTCACAATCAATATTTTTTTCATTATAAAAAATAAAATAATCAAATTTTCGTCACGAAAATTTAACATGATAAAGTTTCGAAATTAAAGATAAAAAAGTTTTTCATGATATATTATATGTGTAAATCTTAATTTTTATAGTAAAATAATATATATTTTTAAGAGTATATGTAATTGTGAATAAAAGATCAGCTTTCTCATTGAGATTTGTATGTAATTTTATTTTTATAATTTAAAACTTTTTTAATACTTATTTAGATTCTTTCGTAATAATTTATATATAGACAGATTTTGTAATTTTAAACTATAAATTATAGATGATAATGAATATTTTTATTTATTTATATATAATATAAAAATTAATATAAATTAAAATTTTAAATTATGAAAAATATAATTAAAAAAAAACGCATGCACAGGTTAAAAAAACTAGTTTCTAATATATAAGAAAGTGAATGTGAAAGGGCTGAATTCTGACTTTTCATAAAGCTAAAAGTGGCTTAAGACAACAAAGATACTGCCAGATCATGTGGCTCAACCATTGTAACCAAAAGAAAGACAGGTAGATTACGATTTCAACAAAAGGTAAAAAGCCATTTGGTTGTAGTCCAAGGCTTAAGATACATGTAAGTTACTATAGGATTTACTGTTATTGTATAAATATTATACATTATTAGTAAATTATATAATAATATAATTTATAAAAAATTAGTTTACAATTAAATATATTTAAATTTAATTTTTTTTACTATGATTTATTAATAATGTATAATATATATCAAATATAAAATTAGAAGAGTCTAAAAGTTTATTAAATAAGATGAAAGTGTCAGTGAAAATAAAAAACTAATGGCTCTGAAGATATTCCAACACAGGGAAAGTCGGTGCGAATAACAGCATTGAGAGGCCAGCCTAGTGAGGAGTAAGACGAATGGGAAGGCCTTTTTCTGGTGTTGGCATCATATCTCCAATAATCTTTTCCTTTGGATGCACCAATTCCCACTTGAACCTTTTCACAACGTTGTATACAAATGTGAGTATAGCCAGTCGAGCGTACTCTTTTCCAGGGCACATTCGAGGCCCACCTCCAAATGGAACGAACGTAAACGGAGGAAAACTATTTCCTTCATCATATCTTGAAGGCTCAAATTTGTCCGGCTCTGAAAAGTATTCTGGGTTCATGTTTGTTGTGCTAACCGTCCAATATATCTGCAGACAATTAGATGAGACTGGAGATTATTAGGGGAAGTTTAATTAGGTTGGTTTCCATGGCTATCATCTGCTAAACACATACCTTCCACCCCTTTGGAACAGTGTAACCAGCGTAAGTAAAATCTGTGAGGGCCTCTCTGAAAGTTCCCTGAAGTGGAGGCGTGAGTCTCATCACTTCATACATTACATTCCAGGAGTACTTCATCTTCTGTATGTCATCCCATTCCAACGGCTCCATTGGCTTTTTGCCAGCCTCAACTTCTGATTGCTCTGGGTTCAAAAACTCAAACATATCAATCAACTCAAGTTCAATTACAATTTAAAAGAGCGAGCTATCACTTCATTTTTAATGCGAGTAAAGAAGGATGAAAGCTGTTTTACCTGCTAGAATTTTGGCGTAGATGTCAGGCCTTTCTCCAACGTATTTCATGAAGAAAGACATAGCAGTAGCCACAGTGCTGTATCCAGCAACCAGCAACCCCATTATCTTATCAGCAATCTCAGCCTCCGGCATGTATTTTCCAGACGGGTCAGTGGCGACGATCATATGACAAAGTATGTCCTGCATAGGCACTCCTGTTGCCAAGGCAGTTTTCTTCTCCTTTATAACTTGTCTTAGCTCCCTCCGGATTGCAGCTGCCGCTCTGTTTGCTCTGTAAAAAACTGTCCCTGGAAAATTTACAGGAACAGAATGCATTCCCAAGGTAATATGATCGAAGTTGCTAACGAGACTAGAGATACGCTCAGGGTCATCTGTGCCCAAGAAGAAATGACATGCGAGAGTCAAGGTCAGGGCCTTAGCAAGAGGGAAGGCCTTTACTTCATCTTTGCCTTCCCAATATTTCTGCATCTGTTGCTGAGTGATAGAGTCCATTTTCCCCATATACCTCACTAGTGCTTCAGGCTTCAAGAATCCTGGAGAACGCAAAATTTTGGCCTCAGCATCCCGGGCAATTTGAACTGGCGCAGCAGCCTGGTAAGATCGGAATAGTTTTTGCATTGAATGAGGTCGGAAAGCTGTGAACAGCTTTTGCTCATTGGAGAACAGAAACTTGTGGCCATCAGGACCACATATGACCGCAGTTTCCTCCCCAAGAATCTTTGTCTTGAAAATATCAGGAGAATACTTATTCATCCTATCAAACACAAACTTTTCCGGCATCCCAAACAGGAATTCAAGGGTTTCACCCATGATAGGCCATCCCAAGCTCCCCGGTGGAAGGTCTTTAGCCTCAACTGATCTGGGTCTAAGTCTGACTGCAAAGATGGCAACAAGTGTAAGAACAATAGGAGCAAGTAAAACGACTAGAGAGAGCTCCATGGTGGTTGCTTAATTCTATTGGAGAAAAGTGGGGAAATCAAAGTCGTTTAGGTGCTGAAACGTGCTGAATTATATAGTCTGAAATGATAGCATTATTCTAGTGTGAGACACAGGATGACATGAATATATTGTTTTTTTTTTTTTTTTGTGTTTGAGTTACTATCGTAAATAGGACGATGCAAGTCGTAAATATTGAACCACAGCTACATCAGCGAAGTATGATAGACAAATTGATGAAATTTTCACTATGAGGTTTAATTTTTTATTAAATCTTAAATGATTAGAATATTGGATATCCAAAAAATATTATCCGTATTTTATTTAAATTCATCACGAATAATAAATTTTTTATTTAAATTTATTAATTATCCATTTATAACTATTTAAATTCAATATAAATGAATAAAATAATAATATTTATTTACTATCCAATACCATCCCTCTTACTCACCTTTCATAATTCACACCATTAAAAATGACAATGGCTCATTTAGGGGAAGCGTTTTGACCCGTATCTAATGGGTTTCGACCCGATCCGACCCGATTTCTTAAAGTTGATTTTTTTTTTTAAATTAGATATCAGGTCGGGTCGAGTGATAAAAAAAATTTGAGATCAAGTTTTAGACAAACCTGACTTTATTCAACCTAATATATATAAAAAATTATTTTTAATTAATTAATTAATTTTATATTTATATTATAAATTTATATTTATTTAATTTTATATTTTATTAAAAATAATATTTTATATTTAAAAAATATTTTATTAATATCAAGTCGAATACAATTTTATATAATGTCGGGTCGAGTTTGAGTATGAAAAAAATTAAAAAAATCGAGTTCGAGTCAGTTTGGAGTGAGCAAAAACCCGCCCCGACCTAACCCGTTGCCATCCAAAGACCCACCGTGTTAGGCTCAGCACAACATGATCAAGCACTTTAAGGTCTATAGGCTATGTGCCATGTTAAGCCATCTATTTTGAAAATTTGAGGCATGCCAACATAATACATATTTTAATCCTGTTGTACCAGTACGACATTTTACAACATCGTGCTAGGCATTATAGCATGTCGGATCACTCCAACCTACCTATTTTTTCACTTCTAGTTCGATTTTCTAACTTTTATGAAACTATTTATTACTATTCTAATGGTAGCTCGTAAAGTTATTCGATTCAAGACATCTCTAGTTCCCATTAATTTTAAATTACTTTTATTTGAAAAGAATTTAGATAAAGTTTATATATCGAGCTTTATTTACATAATGTGATCAATAGAAAGGTGAATATGTAAAAGGTTAATAAATATAAGTATCTTTACAAACAATTTCATGGATAATTATAAAGTCATAAAAATTTTAGAATTTTCATGGATAATTAGAATTATAAATATCTCATAGTCATTAGAAGGGGCAGACAAAGGTCTCTTTATTATACAATGATTAATCTCATTTAATTATATTTTTTTTTCTTAAAAATTATCATTTAGTCTCTCTTTTATTAACTTTTTATCTCACTTACGAGAATAATATTAAATGACAATTAAGAAACTATATATATAGTTCGTAAAAGTTGCATTTATTTGTGGCTATTAATGACGAGGCTCTATCACTTGGCTTAACAACTAAAACCATCAAAACCTTATTGTACCTTTTTGTTCAAAAAGGATGATATTCTTAGTTTCACTAGCTGATTTGAATGATTCATCACCATATTGCATTTCTTTATTATTATTATTATTATTATTATTATTATTATTATTATTACTAAAACGATGCCCATGCTTTACTACAGTTTTTTTTATTTAGCATAATTAAAATTTTAAAATATATAAGAAAATAACTCAAATTTACTTTGATTATCTATAGCATAGACATAACGTGGAATTCAATTAGACTAACCCAAAAGGTCAGACAATAAAGAAGCAACATTCATAAGTCATAGTAATCATCCAAGAATTTGTGCGAAAGAGAGTGATCAGATATCTTGGCTCAACAACACTTATTGTCTACCCCTTATAAGAACAATAAAAGAAGAGCTTAAAATAGGCTTATTATTAACCCTCATAAATATGAAATTTTATGTAAGATTATTAACATCACATAATCTTTACCTGTAATGGGACTGATAACTTTAGAAGTTTTATGCCTAACCATTGGGTGTTCACTCACAACCCTAAATATATTGCTAAGTGCAGCTAAAGTAGCTTTATTTTGCAAATGACCTAAGGCATAAGTAACCTGCATTACAGTAAGGTAACAAACATAAAAATCAACATAAACATCCCACATATAAGAACAATAAGGTCTACTTTAAATCAAGATTCAAATTAATTATTTAAACATTACCAAAAACATATCCAATTTTGTTCTCTTTGGACATGTATATATAAAATAATAAATTTATATTTGACTTGATTGGAAGCAAAAAATCTATGTTCACCCAACTAAATAAATTCTAAAAAATGAGTAATTAGCCATTACCTATATATCTTTTTAACATATGGTGGCTTTTGCTCAATTTGCAACACTCTAAATCATCCATCTGACTTGAGCAACGCTAACCTACTTCACTATCATCATTTGAATGGCTCAAAAAGCTTGTAAATAGAACAAAAAATGTTTAATAGTGAAATTTTCTTAAATACAACATAAAGATTCAATTCAAAAAAATGGGCCACAAACAAAAACAATTTTTTTTATCTATTGGAATTGTAATTATAATACTTACAATAATAGATGAACTCCTCTAATTTGTTCATATGAAAAGTACTCTTAAATATAGTTGGCATCTTAGTTAAGAGGTGAAAAATTGTCTCACCATTCTTGTTTTATAAGTTGTAAGCATTGGATCCTTGTTCAGTAATCAAATAGCTTTGTCTGCATTGAAAGCCGAAAAAAATGTTGAGTTAAACAAAACAACTAATAATCATAATTACATTGGTAAATGGTGAAAACAAAAAGAGATACCAAAGTTTTGACCAATTACAACACTATAAAGAATTGTGATCCCATCATCTCTTCTATAATGATCACGTAGATTTCCAAGTTCTTCAATTTGTTACACTAAATACTTTTCCATTGCAGTTTTACTAAATTCTACAGCCTTAAATAGTGGCATTTCACCTAAATTATTTTGATCACTTAAACAGTTGATGCAATACCACATAAAGGGAGATTCATAGTTCTTTATACATGAGATGTTATTCTCCAATTTATATGGTGACAAAAATGACAAACAATACTATATCCTTATTTTTTTTATTATGGACATTATTTTCTTTTTATAATTTTTTCAACTTCATGTATTTTTATGGCTTTTATTCAAAAATCTATGTTGACTTGAGAATTTGGATAGTTGGATCAATTCAATTCTAAATTAAAGGTTAATTATAGTAATCAGTTTTATTATTATGTGTGTTTTTGTTAAAATGTTTTACTCACTCGTTTCTCTTCTTCCATCTTGGTATTGATGAAAGAATACATTGCTACTCCAGCAATTGCTATGGTTTTTTCTTTGCTTGTCTGTGTTGAAATCTTATTTTCTGTAAAAAGTAAATTGTTAGATATTAGCTCCAAAATTTTAAGTCCAGACACAAAGAAACAAAATAATTCTTCAAATAAGTGTAAATATGTAAGATATAAACCTATCAAAGATCGGGATTGAAAAGCCAATAACAAACACATGTTTCAGCACATTGCCAACTACATGGGTAAGTGCTGCCACCCATTTCAACGTGTTGGTAGCCTACTGCATAGCAAAAAAAAAAAAATCTTCATCTACTTAGTATAATAATGTTAAGATGTACCATGTCAAACAGGTTCGTATAAGGCAACAATAAGAATGAAATTACTTGAAAACAATAAAACTTGTAAAAAAAAATGTAAAAACAATGGTATTTGATTATAGATATGGTAAAATATTCCCACCCAAAAGAGATCAAAGATGAATTTAGTCATACCCACTTGAGTAATAGCATCATTGAACTCATACTTTATTAGTTGAAGACCTTCGAATTGCAACAGGTAGGTGGGAAAACATGGAATGCTTTAAAAGACTAGTGCTTCATGTTTTAATTTTTTAAAAATATCCAACTGCCCTTAAATAATTTTTACTTACAACTGATGGCTGGAGAAATATAGACTAAGAAAGAAATGATTGAAATATAAGCATAGTCATTTGTACTATCCATATCGATCTGCATATGAAAAAATAACAATTACTATAAAAAATTTATTAGTTAAAATAAAAATTCTAAGTCCTACACAAACTGAAAAAATAAAAAGGATGTGTAAAATAGAAAGAATGAAAGAATTCTGTTTGATTCTTTTAAAAAAAAGGCTAAGAGTTTTAAAAAAAGTCACCATGACTTTTTTGGAATAGATATTCTTGTAACTGACTGAGATGTTGAAAATCATTACGCTAATAAAACCTGTCGAGTTGAATAACAACTTAGTCAATGATGCCATAGATACATCTACATTCAATTTGCAATTAAATGATACCCAAACATGGTGGTACATTAATAATTTAAGTGCAATATACTATTATAGTAATAGAATATAAAGGTTGTTTATCTACACAATTAGAAATAGAGCCTATTACAAGAACGTATTTTACACTTGAACTAATTTGTGTAATTAGGTTATCAAAACAACAAACAAAGAAAAAATTAGCAACTAAAGTGATGTTCCATTTACTCTTTTTTTTTCATATTGAACATCATTATCTTGATCATAAGCCATGCTCTACATAATGGTTTAGCAATCTTATTGATAGGCATAACATTTTGCTAACTCTGGCCTTGAGTAAAATCTTGTTCACTCTTTTTTTTCTATCAATATCTATTTAATCCCATGTAACTTATTCATACAACATGCTGAAATTTTTGGCATATACTGTTATCCAGAATGCGAATAAAATGCCAACCAAAATCAATCAAAACATTTATGTTCCTAGCATAAGCAATTTACAAAGAATGGATAGAAGTGCTCATAAACATATTTTCTAACTTGTCTCAATATTGCAAACTTGCATTCATCCTCCATATTAATTGAATTTAGAT